TCGCTATTCATAATAGGAGAAGAGGGTCGCTATTCATAATAGGAAATGAGGGTCGCTATTCATAATAGGAGAAGAGGGTCGCTATTCATAATAGGAAAAGAGGGTCGCTATTCATAATAGGAGTAGATGGTCGCTATACATAATAGGAGAAGAGGGTCGCTATTCATAATAGGAGAAGAGGGTCGCTATTCATAATACGAAATGAGGGTCGCTATTCATAATAGGAGAAGAGGGTCGCTATTCATAATACGAAATGAGGGTTGCTATTCATAATAGGAGAAGAGGATCGCTATTCATAATAGGAGAAGAGGGTCGCTATTCATAATAGGAAATGAGGTTCGCTATTCATAATAGGAGAAGAGGGTCGCTATTCATAATAGGAGAAGAGGGTCGCTATTCATAATAGGAAATGAGGGTCGCTATTCATAATAAGAGAAGAGGGTCGCTATTCATAATAGGAGAAGAGGGTCGCTATTCATAATAGGAAATGACGGTCGCTATTCATAAAAGGAGAAGAGGGTCGCTATTCATATTGGAGAAGAGGGTCGCTATTCATAATACGAAATGAGGTTCGCTATTCATAATAGGAGAAGAGGGTCGCTATTCATAATAGGAGAAGAGGGTCGCTATTCATAATAGGAGAAGAGGGTCGCTATTCATAATAGGAAATGAGGGTCGCTATTCATAATAGGAGAAGAGGGTCGCTATTCATAATAGGAGAAGAGGGTCGCTATTCATAATAGGAGAAGAGGGTCGCTATTCATAATAGGAGAAGAGGGTCGCTATTCATAATAGGAGTAGATGGTCGCTATACATAATAGGAGAAGAGGGTCGCTATTCATAATAGGAGAAGAGGGTCGCTATTCATAATATGAAATGAGGGTCGCTATTGATAATAGGAGTAAGGGGTCGCTATTCATAAAAGGGGAAGAGGGTCGCTATTCATAATACGAAACTTTCTCTTCAAATCCTCTTCTTTCTCTAATAATTTAATGAAACATCAAAGCTTCCACGTTTTGCGCGGGAGGGGGGAAACTGAATTCAGACAAGGATTAAGAGTCGAGAATGGAACAACGAATCATCTTCTTTCTCTAATAATTGCATTAAACAATGAAAGGTCAAAGCTTACGCGCTTTGCGCAAGAGGGGGGAATAGAATTCAGACAATTATTAAGAGTCGAGAACGGTACAACAAATCGTAATTTTTCTCTAATAATTAATGAAAGGTAAAAGCGAGGGGAAAAACTGAATTCAGACAAGGATTAAGAGTAGAGAATGGTACAATAAATCGTCTTCTTTTTCTAATAATTAATGAAAGTTCAAAGCTTTCGCGCGTAATGTGTGGGGGAGGGGAGGGGGGGGGGACAGCAAGCTGCCCGAATATGAATTTTTGATATCTTTTCTCGTTTATCTTGGTGATAAATAACACTTTCACAAAAAACATATAATGCTCAAATTTTTGCTCGCTCGTTTCGCTCACAAGCAGAATTGTAAACTAGAAAATTATCGGGCAAGAGGCTTTAGCCCCCCCCCCCCCAGATGAAAATGTCAAAAAATGTATATCTTAAAAACGGGGAATGTTGATATCGGACAAGAGACGTGAAGTGAGCTTGCACCCCTTTCCAAAATTGTTCCTGCTTCTAGGTACCCGTATCGTGCTTCTAATATGACCTTGTCAGTATTGGTATGTTGAGTTGAAAAAACGGTCTGCGCATTTTTCAAATTTCCGTCCCCCCCCCCCCCATTGGAAAATTCTGTATCCGCGCCGGGGCGTACTGATGGGGGGGGGGGGGCTCGGGGGATCGGTAGATACTGGGCTTAGGTCCAATTGTCAGGTCCAATTCCGCTCAGTAATTTGTAGGTCCATAAGTCCTAATAAAAATTACTTTCTACAAAAACATTATTGTCGTATAAACAATTACTAGTTTCTTAAATAGCAAGCTAAAATGGATAATGGGCCTGCTTGGCGTACTTAATATCTCAGTGGCGTAGCCTGGATAAGATCAGTCGGGGGCAGGGTGGTGGGGCAAGATTTCCAACAAGGAGGAAAATTTACGATAGGATTACATGTGTGTTATGTTTTACTTTTTTTTCGTCACCACATGAGCGGGGGTTGGCTCTATATAATTATCAAAGATAACAGATAAAATATAATTACTTTAAAAAGAGACAACTATTCAGGGCTATATATCGCCCCCCCCCCCCTACAGGACCAGAAACGTAGCCGAGGGGGGGGGGGGCGTATTATGAATAGCTAACCTCATTTCGTATCATGAATAGCGACCGTCTACTCCTATTATGAATAGCGACCCTCATTTCTTATTATGAATAGCGACCCTCATTTCGTATTATGAATGGCAACCCTCATTTAATATCATGAATAGCGACCCTTATTTCTTATTATGAATAGCGACCCCCTACTCCTATTATGAATAGCGACCCTCTTCTCCTATTATGAATAGCGACCCTCTTCTTCTATTATGAATAGCGACCCTCATTTCTTATTATGAATAGCGACCCTCATTTCTTATTATGAATAGCGACCCTCTACTCCTATAATGAATAGCGACCCTCTTCATCTATTATGAATAGCGACCCTCTTCTCCTTTTATGAATAGCGACCCTATTCTCCTATTATGAATAGCGACCCTCTTCTTCTATTATGAATAGCGACCCTCTTCTCCTATTATGAATAGCGACCCTCATTTCTTATTATGAATAGCGACCCTCTACTCCTATTATGAATAGCGACCCTCTTCTCTTTTTATGAATAGCGACCCTCTTCTTATATTATGAATAGCGACCCTCATTTCTTATTATGAATAGCGACCCTCTACTCCTATTATGAATAGCGACCCTCTTCTTCTATTATGAATAGCGATCCTCTTCTCCTATTATGAATAGCGACCCTCATTTCTTTTTATGAATAGCGACCCTCTACTCCTATTATGAATAGCGACCCTCTTCTCCTATTATGAATAGCGACCCTCTTCTTCTATTATGAATAGCGACCCTCTTCTCCTATTATGAATAGCGACCCTCTTCTTCTATTATGAATAGCGACCCCTTTCTTCTATTATGAATAGCGACCCTCATTTCTTATTATGAATAGCGACCCTCATTTCTTATTATGAATAATGACCCTTATGAATAATAACCCTTATGAATAACGACCCTCATTTTGCATTATGAATAGCGACCCTCTTCTCCTATTATGAATAGCGACCCTCTTCTCCTATTATGAATAGCGACCCTCTTCTTCTATTATGAATAGCGACCCCCTTCTTCTATTATGAATAGCGACCCTCATTTCTTATTATAAATAGCGACCCTCATTTCTTATTATGAATAATGACCCTTATGAATAATAACCCTTATGAATAACGACCCTCATTTTGCATTATGAATAGCGACCCTCATTTTGTATTATGAATAGCGACCCTCATTTCGTATTATGAATAGCGACCCTCTTTCTGTGTTATGAATACCGACCCTTTTGTAATATTATGAATAGGGACCCTTATGAATAACGACCCCGATTTCCTATTATGAATAGCGACCCTCTTCTAATATTATGAATACCGACCTTCTTCTTTGATTATGAATAGCGGTCCTTAAGAATAATGACCCTTATGAATAATGACCCTTTTCTCCAATTATGAAAAGCGGACCTTATGAATAGCGGTCCTTATGAATAATGGACCTTATGAATAGCGGACCTTATGAATAGCGGTCCTTATGAATAGCGACATTGACCCGATTGAGGGTACCCCCACCTTTCCCGGGTATATGATTGAACAAGTTCGTGCAGAAATGCCATATCCCTTGATTTCGCCCCTTCTTTACTTTATGTCTGACTACACCCATCTGCATTGTCCTGAAAATATATAAATGGAATAACAGCTTAGACCCCAATGGCAAATCATGCATTTTAACTGCATTATTTAAAAACTGCAAAAGTTTGTTGCAATTCTTCCCCCTTACATTCCTAACATGAATAAAAATATTACGAATACGAATGACAGGTGTTAATTTGAATGATAAAAATTACGCTTCGACAAGTGAATATTAATTTGAATGCTAATTGAGCAGTTTCTTAATTGAATGACAGATCTATGAAACCCTTCGACCAAAATCCTAAATTAAATACAAAAGCTGGAAAATTGAATGATAATTAGCATGGCAAAGCCGATCTGCGCTAACTTAAATGCAAAGTAAATGAATTCGAATGACAAACACGCGAATTTGGCCGGGAAATCCTATAATTATTGACAATGGAGAATATTTAGGTTATAAGCCTCAATAAAAACCTGCAAAAGTGCACTAACAAGCAGAAAAGACTCTTATTTATGGCTTGCTTGCTTGGTCGCCTTAAATGTTTCAGAAAAAAGAAATTGAGAAGAAATCTAGTATTATGAAATAGGTTTCAAGGTAAAGTTGATTATAACATTTTCATCATAAGCTACCAATGTTGGGTATTCTTTTTTATTTTAGGTATTCTATTGAGGGAAAGGTTGTTTTTGTTAACCCATGACTTCTTACTGAAACGTTTGACAACTGTGTACTTGGTGTCATCTTTAATGCTGATGTCTACTTTTAAACTTCATACCAAATTATTGCAGTGCCTCAATCTTGATTATGAACGTTCTGCAACGTTCAAATCTTTCCTAAAAATGCACCTCTTTTGCCTTACTTACGTTATTTGTTTTGACCATGTTAGCCCTCTTTTTATTATGTTATTTACTAAGATTTGAATATTTCTCTTTGTTGAATCCTTTTACGTGATTATATTTCTCGTCATTTAATGCATGTACAGCGAATACAGAATTTGTTGTTTATTATTTGCTTTATAAATACTGTATTATTATTATTAATAAAATGTGGGTGACTCTAAAAAATCAAGTCATTTTAGAAATTGAACATCATATATGTCTCTCCCCACCCCATAAAGCAATGAAACATTTTATATTACATAGTTACCATCATTTTCTGTTCATGTAGGAGTCTGTGGAATTGCCTCTGGTGGAGGAAGGATGCCCTCAAATATGGGGTCCATACTGAAGCTATTTGCAGCAATCGTTGGGATACTGATTGGTGTCCAAACAGTCAGAGTATCAGGTAAGACCGCCAATCCAATCTCCCCCTATTTACTGCAAGCCAAGGTTGGCCAGGCTGGGCGTACGCCATCTTCAGCGTGCATGTGGTAGGGGATTGAGATCGCGATGTTCGATTAACACAAACGGACAGATTATGGGTGGGAGGGGGGGGGGTAATTTGGCCAGGCTGAGCTTGCGGACTTGGTGTGCAGCAGGTAGGGGATTGAGATTGAGCTACACAATTAAAAAAACAAAACGAACAGATTGTGGGTGTTCATAAGCCACGGACTTGGCCTTTTTTTAAATGGCGGATATTTATTAAATATAGTACAGTTAACGAAGAAATAAGTCATACCCTTTACCAGGTTTAGTATTGTTTTAAGTATGTGATACTGATTTGTCCCAATGTTTCTTTCTTGAGAATGTACCACGTCAAAGCTTACATGTTAAAGTATTCAATAACTACCATAATTCAACCAGTCTACCCTTCATTCTTATATTACAATCATTAGTTCAAATATTTGTTTACAATGGGTACGAATGATTTAGTTTATTACTGTATGTTTTATAAACGTTTGTAAATGATTTATAAAGTTGTCAACAAATTTATTTTTAGCTTCAGTTTATTGTTTCATATTTTACATAATTATATCATATATTTTGCATTTTTTCTTCAAAAAATGAATATAAAAATAAGCGTGCACTCTATTAAACGAGACAAAAACAAAAGGTAGGTTCCTTATATCAATTAGATCGAATGCATTACATTTAAAGACTGAACTAAGAAAAATAATGCAATATTTACAGCCTTTGAAAATAGAGGGAATGAGCATTTATTGTCAATCGTAGTAAAACAAAATCATAACAATAATAATAATAATAATAATAATAATGATATCTAAGATTTATATAGCGCTGGTATACCCATACTGTACGCTGTACAAAACAAATTAAATGAAAATTACGTTAAATCTAAATATGTAATGAGCATCAACAAGAAACGTGAAATATCATTCTTATTACCAGGAAAGGACAATGTCACTTTTATTATAATAGTGTAAAAAATTACTTCATTACATGTAGTCCTTGGCAATAACTTGAACAACCACAAGATCAGAAAAATAACAATAATGTAGTCGCGTTGAACTGACGGGATCCAAATGTCAGTCGTTTGGTGTTTAACAACAAAAGAAAAATGCACTAAAAGCCCTCACTCCGACAAACATTATGAACGGAACCCCTCGCGACAAGTCACTGCCTCCGCATGCAGAACACACACCAAACACTACCACCACCACTTCATCAGTCAGGCTATTATTCTGAACCAGCAAGAAACAATGAGCCGGGGCTACTGGGGCACAGCAACTCGCTTCGCCGAAGGGGAATAATTGAAATTATCCCATTGAAAATGTTTCTTTAAAGATAAATTATTGGCACGCTAGAAGCATTATACTGATGTTTCTGCCTGTAAAGCAATAGTTGTTTGAGAGGAGAAAATGCAGTTTCCTTTTAAATACAAATAATGAGATAGATTCAGAGATTTCAGTTAGGAGTTTGTTCTAATACTCTGGACCTGAAAAGTAATAGTTTTAGCAAATATTGTACGAGTTTAGGGGGAAATGGAAGGAGTAACTTTTGCATGGGATATGAGTGGATAGCATTGGTGCTGAAACATTCGCTGGTAGTTTATATATAGATTGTTGAAAATCCCTAAGTTGTACATGTATATATATTTATATATATATATATATATCTGAAATTCGTCAGAGTTTGTTCTTATAATAAAAATAAAAAAATTGCTAGTATGCGAACAAAATCCAGCATGATCAATATTTCTTACGGTTTGTTTTTAAATAGGAATTTTTATTTGGGTTTTGCTTCCATTTCCTAAGGTTAGAATACCGCAATTGATCAAAATGATGAGTCTTTAATAGTTAACATTCAAATATAATCTGTTTACATTTATCTAAGCTTGGAATAGTTCCATTTTAATATTCAAATATATTCGAGGAGAATTTGAGGGGTGCGATGTGAGAAGAAAATGTTTGAGTCATCGGCAAAGAATATTAATAACAGAATATCAGATTAATTTTGGAAGTCAATCTAATATAACATAATAAATAACAAAGCAACTAACAGGGAACTTTCAGGAACCTTTGACCTTGACCTAAGCCTTTCACACCATCTGGGAGATGTGCTTTGGCTTCTGCTTCATGACCTCAAGCCAGATCTTCCTATCTTGTGACGTTCTGGTCGCTTCTGTGAGGGATCCCATCTAGTAGCACATCATTCTTTACACAATCTAACCATTTCTCGGCTAGTCTAAGTAATCATTTTGAACATTTATATTAACAAATCATTTTCTGTCAGTGAGATAATTTCTAGACCACTTCAAGGCCTTCCCTCAAATCCCATAATGGGATAATTTATGCAATTAAGCATTATGATTGATAGCATTGAAGGCCTTCGAGAAGTATAGGAAAATTCTGACGGTATTTGACAAATTGTCAATGGCATGAGCTGTAATCTAATAACGTAAGTAATACATGTGTTTTTGAGCGCTTTTGTCCGTAGCCGATTTGTTTGTTAGGTGGAGTATTAAAATCAAGTAAAATGAAAATAATCATAGTTCGGGATTGAATTAATTTCGATTACTTTGAAGAGGGATGTCGAAAGAGACATAGTGCGATAATAATCAATATATTGTGTGTTCCCTTTCTTAACCCATTAGCAACTTAACCGCCCGAATCTCCCCTCCTTTTACTCATGGAACCGCCCGAAACTGCCCGTCCGTTTTCGTCCGTTTTTAACGCGCTATAGTATCTGTTCTTGGGTCTACCGTGATAATGTTATACGTGCATAATCCTTACGATGTCTACAGAATGATTCTGCATAGAAAAATAGCGCCTGTTTAATATTGTTTAGAACAATGTAAAAATGAGAGCAATATTGAAACATCTTCCTGTGAGTAATAGGCCAATTATACAAAATCTCTAGTTGCTAATGGGTTTAAAAGAGGTACGATCTTATCGATTTTCATCTTTAGGGCACAACACCAGTTTGCTATCGATACATTTCTAGAATAGGGAGCAAGAGTTTTGGATTTTAAAAGATAATTGAAAATCGATGTGACTGCTTGTGAGGCTGAATAATTACAATGACTCAGTTTCGTCTCCAAGGCCTTTAATCATTCGGTCTACTTTAGGGATACCATATCCCGTTTGCAGCCAACATCGGATTCTGTAGAACTTTGCAGGAATTATGAATATGTCATGTATGTCCCGTCTGTAAAATTTAAACGCTAGCGTCCTAATATTCAAATTAGGCAAGGAAACCCGTTTAATTGCTTCTCTGGTAATAACATACATAACATGAGCTATAAAGGGTACATGAGCATTTGTCTACATCAATAACCCACTTCATGTAATGGCCAAAATTAAACTGATTGAATCTTTGCGCAGCATAAAACATAACCATTCGGTACAATGGTCTGAAAATCAGACTCTTACTTACTGGCTCTATAGCTCTTAAGTAGATTCGACAACTAATAGTTGTTATTTTCCCACTTAAAGACATTTTCAAGCCCCCTTTTTTTAGGGAAGTTCGAAATTAGTATTATCTTTCAAATGCCGTTGGAATTTGACCTTTTCATTTTGTGTGCCTGCAAATGGGACATAGTACCTTTAACTCCGTGAAAACTGTACATGATAAAGCTTAACAGGAATGCATAATAAGTATGTGTTCATGAATATAGGTTTCACTATCATATGTGTGGGTACACAGTTTACACATGTTATACATTTGCCATACAGATTACTGCTGCTACTGTGTAAGTTTCATACAATGTAAACATCTTAAAAACTACCAATCCTACTTTCATTGTCATAAGGTTCAAATATGGGTTATAACTAACCTCTGTGCCTTCATAATACTGTAGAAACAGCTCTCAGGAAAGAAGGATGCTCCAGAAAACCACAGAATTTCCTCACAAACAGAAATCATGTTGCAAACATAATTATTGCAAAACAGCCAACAACAGGTGGCGCTAAACCAGTTTATGTCCTTAATACTAGAAATACATCAGAAGTGTCAAAATAATCTTGGACCAAACGCCCTCTGTAGTTCTATTATTGCAATATCAAGCTAAATCAATAAATACTAAATAAATTATTATGTATGACCCTATTCTCACTCACTTTGCTGGACCGATCTACGCTAGACCGATCCACTGGACCGCTCCAGAGGTACGGTTCGTTTATGTTCACACTCATCGTAGTTTTTACCCTGATGAGACACGTTATTCCATAGCAACATGAACGGTTCCATTTGCTATGTTAGCACGGGTAATTTTCACGCGCAATCAAAATGTGTGTTCGGCGGCCTGTAATAAGTCATGGCTTGTTTTGTTCTCATCTATTTTGTATTATTATTATATTTCCCTTTCGGAATCTGTATCTTTGCTATTCTGTCACCTTTTTTCGTTCTATCCTTCCCAATCTGACTTTTGTTTTTCCTTCTTTCATCTCTTTTGATATTCTCTAATGTTAATCATTCTATCATGTTTTCTTTTTACCTTTTTCATGTTATTCTTTGATTTTCCTTTTGTCATTTTCTCTTCATGTTTTGCTTTTCTTATTCTTTATTTTTCTTTCTTGTATCTTCTCTTCTATATTTCCTTTATCTATTCTTTATCCTTTTATCTTTCTTTTTTTCCTTATGTAATCCTTTGTTTTTTTCCTTTTGTATTATCTCTTCTGTTATTCTTCTTTTGTGTTATTCTTTAATTTTTCTTTTGATCCTTCTTCATGAAATTCTTTATTTCTTCCTACCTGAACCTTTTCTTATGTCATTCTTTTTTTTTTTATCATTCTATCATTTTTTTTCTCCTACCATTTCTTATGCTATTCTTTGTTTATCCTTCTATCATCTTCTATTATGTTATTCTATGAATGAATAGGTCTAAAATATATCACAATCACATAAGAGGAAAACAGTACCGCACTTCACAGTTATTTCATCCCCCAGGCTACGATATTACTTTTTTCAGAAATAGACTGAATACTTAAAAATATTTTAACAAATGGGTTTCATATTTCTCAACATATTATTATCCAGAATTGAAATTATGCGTTCATATTTTATTAAACCACATTCTCCTTCGAAATCCTCCTCCCTCCTTTCCTCCTTTCTAACTCCTTTGACTTATCTCCCTCCCCCGCCCGTGTACTTGGGCGGATAGGGAATGCATTCTGGGACAGGTTTCTTTACAATATCGAAATGACTTAAGTTGTTGATCTCTTTCCACCTCTACCTCGCTCTCCCTTAAACTTCCAGCTAGTTTTCCCATTGTTCAGATGTAGGGAAAAATTTGTTTCTCATCAATGCCAATTTCTTTCCCTCCTATTCATCCTCTTTGAAATGTTATCATGATTATAAATGAACTACGTTCTCTTCCCATGAACATCAAATACTTAACAATAATTAAAGAGTGATTTACCCATTGCTTCTTTCCTTGATCAATTCATGTTATTCCAAAAAATATCTCCTCGTAACTTAGATTAGGTATGGATATAATGTCTTATTTATTATTCCAGTCGTTCCATATCAAACGAACAAAATGACGACATATCTCCTCTTCCCTTATGCAGAAGCAACATAAATTACTTTGGGCAATTCCAATTCGATATGAATGATTATTTGTGTAAACAATTCCATGTGGTACTTTAAATTGGAAATATTTTCACTGGCTTCTAATGTACCTTGTCTTGGTTTGGTCTCTTATAAACATTTGCAATGTCTTTATATTAGAAAAAAAAACATGTTTATCTTTCATTCTTTCAAAAAACATTTTGCGTTACCGATTTATGTTGAAGAAATTGTATGTAGATTTTTTTGTTCTACAATATCATTTATTGATGTTATATATATATATATATTTATCGAATAGGTTTTTGTAAAATATGCACTTCCCTTTAACTTGTATGAATTTCATCTGAAAATACCTCGTATCCATCTAAACTGCCAGTAGATTAATATAAAATTATTCTGTTGTGACCAAACTCGTTTCGACCTTTTCGAAAGTTAGGTTTTCATGTAAGAACACCCTACAGCATTTTGGGTGTGTTTGAATTATACAAAGGTGTTAGACTGGAAATCCTAACAATAATAATAATAATAATATATAACATTTATTAGGTGCTTAATACAGGTGTTTCTAAGCGCACCATTGTCTGACTTAAAATTACCAACTAAAACTTGTAATAAACACAAAAAATATAAATATGTTCTTTATTCAATAAATCATACATATATAATAATAAAAATAAAAATGAGATCAAACATAAGGTCAAACATGAGATCAAACAAAATATCAAACAAACAAAGAATAAGATGGTGTGCACCTCCTTTGACCGACTCACAACTGCATAATAGCATTCATGAATTAAAAAGGTGCGTTTTCAGTAAGGACTTAAACTGGTCAAGAGAATGAGTATTATGAATATGCGCTGGTAATTTATTCCAAAGGATAGGATCATTTACTGAAAAAGCTCGATCGCTATATTTTGTAACAGAACGAGGTCCAAGGGTTAACTGCAAGGTTGATGATGATCGAAGAGATCGTAAAGAACTAGAAGAACGTAAGGAAATAAAATCTGAAAGATATTTAGGGGCTTGGCCATGGAGAATTTTGTATGTCAGAAGAAGAACTTTAAATGTTGTACGATGGTGTATGGGAAGCCAATGGAGAGAACGCAATATTGGGGTTATGTGCTCAAATTTTCTCGAGAGAGTAACAAGCCTTGCATTAATTACTTTAATGGTCACGTGTTTCTGGTGTACCTACTCTAAGGACAAAGAAGTCCCTTGATTATCTCTCATAAATTGTTTGTAGGTTATGTAAAATTTATCATAATGAAATTATGATATTTTCTCATGTATGTTTTTTTAATTTTTTTTAAAAACAAAAATTGATTATTCTATCTAATTCAGAAGGATATGCATTCATGCATGAACATTATTCCTTTTGGAATTGGAGTATGTCAGGCAAGGCCCTGATGGGCATTTTTAATAACCGACATCCGTCCACTTACATTAAAGCTCATCTGTACTAGTTTATAGGAGAGATTAGACCACCCGGCAAGGTCACTGGACAGGTGATTATCTCATCATCAGCTCTCAATTAACATAAGAAAAAGAGGATCATTGGGGACAAATGGTCACCGATTATGCATCGTTTTCTATATACAGGGAGCAAGTAGCTACAAGTAGTACAGTGTGCCTTTAAACGAAGCCGGTAGTTTCATCACGCACCATGTTTAATTGACCCTGTCAAGTTAGCCTGTTTATGCTGCTGATGTACAGTCAGACCGCAGCGTGCGCGATAATGAGGCTGTACGCTGATTTTTATTGAGCGTCTCTTTGGTGATCTCGTACATTCACGTGTGCTGAAATTCACGAGATTTTCCGTGAGATTTGTAAAGGTGTACATGCAGCTGCTTTTGTGGTCGATAATTTCAGTCAACATGGCAGCACGCAACGGTAATTACTCTCGAGATTTTCAGCCTCAGTTTGATATGTAACTTGCCATATTTCACAATGTTGAAACAATCCTTTTTCACCACTTTTATTGACGTTATTTTTGTAACATTTCAACAGCTATTTTGTACCCGGAATTTCGCTTTTGGTTCCTGACTCTGGTACATAATTGATTTGTTTACTTTGAGATTCGTTGGAAAGATGAAAAGTCACTGGTCAAAATAATGTCAAAACCTAATTGACGAAAATCATGTTCTCTTTATAGTCATAGTAATTAAGACCCTAAAAACCCGGAAATTACCAATTTGTTCTTTCCATGATGGCCCGAAATTGTGTGATTTGATACTCACGTACGCTCGCCGTCTGAGCAAGGGCAATGCATAACTGATTATTAAACTCCAGTGAGCTCCACCGCGCCACCGACTGGCCGAAAAAAATAAGAAAATACCGGCGCACGCCACAAGGCATGCTTACTCAGCCTTGTTATTCAGAATGTTGATGAACCAAAGCGGAACATATGTGACGTAGTTGACGTATTTGACCAATCAGAACTCTCTATTATCACATCGGCAAAATTGACTACTTCTATTAATTATTCATAAACATTCGCGTGATTTTTCTTGGTTCCTGATTCTGGTACAGCGTAAAAAATAATAATTTTGTTATCATTGTAAAGAAAAATATCTATGTTTTATGCTGATTATAACATCTTCGTGACGCAAGAATGATTTCTATGTGAAATTCAGCCCTACTCTTAAGATAGATTTATCGTCAAAAAAAAACATTTTCTAATCGAAATATCTGTTCCTAAAATATATTTAACATGATTGTTATATAAGTATACAGAAAGTGCAACGTCTTATCTGTAAAATAGGACCAATTTCATGACAAATGAACAATTATAAAGGCAAAAACTGCCGATCGAAAAGACCGTTTGCACTACTCATTACGTATGCAAGACACGTAAATTCTTGCATACGTGCTGAATAAAATAGAGGCTGCGGTCTGACTGTGTATGAGGTGTCCTTACGAGCTCCACAGCATGGGTACAACTGATGACGTAGTTTTTCCTTACCTGTGTGATACTTAGTCTACAGGGTTTCAGTTTTTTTTCATTTATACCACGAATAAACACCACTGAACTTCACCAAGGCGTCCCATACTCTTCATTTATAATGACTATATAATAATGGCTATAATTTCAAAGGATGGAGCACGGGCCCCTCACTCAATCATTTGGCACCTGAATATCCTAAAGACACACTCGAAATATATACACCATCTCGTAATCTTTGCTCAGCAACTGACACATGTAAACCTGTCATTCCCAAATCTAGACTCTCAATAGCTGAAAACGATTTGCAGTAGCTGCATCAAAGACTACAGCATCCCTCTTTCCATCATGGAAATTACCTGTCTTGCCACCTTCAAAAGATCCCTCAAAACTTATCTTTTCCCCAGTGATCTACATGTATGTGATCTACCTCCTGTGAGACTGTACATTTGTTGTCCTCTTTTCATATATTTGTAAGCGCTATGGTTTGTATTGTTTTTAGCGCTCCTGTATATTCGATATTATTATTATTATACGCCTAAACGCTGGATCAAGATTCATAGCTTTTCTCGAAAAGATACGCGCGTTCTGTTTTGCCTCCCTTTGCCTTATCTTGCCTAAAACTGTCAACTTTCAAATGAAAAGGTTTATACTTTAGGATGGTTTACAAATGGCTTGTGATACCTATGGACCTTTAATAATTGACATACCTACAACATGTTATATGTACAACAATGGCATAGTCAATCCCTTTATAGCTTGGCACACATACTTATCGCCTCAAATAGTGCGACTCAGCTCAATGAAGGTCAATAACGTCAGCAGAGTGTCAAAACTATGTTCCGACATTATGTCCATATAATTCTTTAAAAATGGCACGGTCAATCAAAATGAAAATTAGAACAGAATACTAAACATGGTGTAATTACATTAAAGTCATCATTATATATCATCACCATCATCTAAATAAACATAAATGTCGATATCAATACAGTTATCTAGTTAATTATCGTCATCATCGTGTTCATGTTATTTATCGTCTTAATATCATATTAAGACCTCATTGTCATTGAAAGAACTTGAATACAGACCATTTCTTACGTGTTAAAAATTATAAATGTATCGTTATAGGTTCCTGTACCATGAACTCGGAATGCAACGGAGGAACTTGTAATACAAATATGTGCAGCTGTCTTGCCGGATTTACTGGTCCAAACTGTGGAACAGGTAGTATTTTTTCTAAACTCTTACGATATGTTTTCGTTAAAAAAGAAGTTTAGTTCAGGTAAAGGTGTAACATCATTTGTGAACATTTTCATAACCTTCATCTTAATGTGGAATGAATTTTAAGTTGATTAAGTTAATTTGAATAAAGTATGAATAGTTTAACAAATTCATTAATTAATTCAAACAAATTCATTAATTAAATCAAAAACTGACATTATCAGCCTGTAAAATGCTAGTTTTGTGTCTTGATTTTTCTGTTATCCGCTGAATGAAAATAAATATATCAAAAATAAATATTATTCTCGTCATTTGTTATCCCATTTATTGTGTTTGGAACCCATTTTGCACAGATATCGACGACTGTAGTCCTGACCCCTGTCTGAATGGAGGCACTTGTGCTGATGGAGTAAACGACTATACTTGTGCCTGCGTACTGGGCTATACTGGAAACGATTGCGAAACAGGTAAGACATTGAGTCAAAACAAATTACAAACTTTCATACATACACTTTTTATGTAAAGTAATTGCACCTTGCTCATCAAGACATTATAGATAAAGAGCGAACAAGGAAATGAAATGAAAGAAACCTTTAGTCATTGGTGAGAAAAATCTCGGAGGTTTTTCTTTATTCAGAGTCGACAGGAGTGAATGTAGAGACAAAGAAATTAGGGTGTCCCACCTGTTAGTGTAGAAATAAGGAAAACTACACTCTTAATCATCTCAAGTTGACACATGGTAAACGGAAGTGCATGGTCATTTAAAGAACAGATTTGAAATTGTGATTACCCCAACAATCTTTCCCAATAATGATTTGTTTTCAAGTAAGAGCAAAAACGTTTGCTTTAGTGACCCTTTCTGTCTGGCAGGGGCACACTAAGTTTTCTGAGACGATGATATTCTTTTCATGAATATATTTTCTTGCTAAGGCCTCGATTTTGGAAAAGAGAAAAACATTTCAAGAGATATTTAGTTGATCAATTTCAATTGAATAATGTATGATTAGTTTTACAAATGAATTAATTCAAATCAAAAATGACATTATTAGCCCTTAAAATGCCGGTTTTGTTGTCTTGATTTTCCTGTTATCCGCTAAATGAAAATAAATATGTCAACAATGAAATGTTATTCTCGTCACTTTTATCCCATTTATTGTGTTTGGAACTCATTTTGCACAGATATCGACGATTGTACTCCTGACCCCTGTCAGAATGGAGGAACTTGTACTGATGGAGTGAACGACTATACTTGTGCCTGCGTACTGGGCTATACTGGAAACGATTGCGAAACAGGTAAGACATTGAGTCAAAACAAATTACAAACTTTCATACATACACTTTTTATGTAAAGTAATTGCACCTTGCTCATCAAGACATTATAGATAAAGAGCGAACAAGGAAATGAAATGAAAGAAACCTTTAGTCATTGGTGAGAAAAATCTCGGAGGTTTTTCTTTATTCAGAGTCGACAGGAGTGAATGTAGAGACAAAGAAATTAGGGTATCCCACCTGTTAGTGTAGAAATAAGGAAAACTACACTCTTAATCATCTCAAGTTGACACATGGTAAACGGAAGTGCATGGTCATTTAAAGAACAGATTTGAAATTGTGATTACCCAACAATCTTTCCCAATAATGATTTGTTTTCAAGTAAGAGCAAAAACGTTTGCTTTAGTGACCCTTTCTGTCTGGCAGGGGCACACTAAGTTTTCTGAGACGATGATATTCTTTTCATGAATATATTTTCTTGCTAAGGCCTCGATTTTGGAAAAGAGAAAAACATTTCAAGAGATATTTAGTTGATCAATTTCAATTGAATAATGTATGATTAGTTTTACAAATGAATTAATTCAAATCAAAAATGACATTATTAGCCCTTAAAATGCCGGTTTTGTTGTCTTGATTTTCCTGTTATCCGCTAAATGAAAATAAATATGTCAACAATGAAATGTTATTCTCGTCACTTTTATCCCATTTATTGTGTTTGGAACTCATTTTGCACAGATATCGACGATTGTACTCCTGACCCCTGTCAGAATGGAGGAACTTGTACTGATGGAGTGAACGACTATACTTGTGCCTGCGTACTGGGCTATACTGGAAACGATTGCGAAACAGGTAAGACATTGAGTCAAACAAATTACAAACTTTCATACATACACTTTTTATGTAAAGTAATTGCACCTTGCTCATCAAGACATTATAGATAAAGAGCGAACAAGGAAATGAAATGAAAGAAACCTTTAGTCATTAGTGAGAAAAATCTCGGAGGTTTTTCTTTATTCAGAGTCGACAGGAGTGAATGTAGAGACAAAGAAATTAGGGTGTCCCACCTGTTAGTGTAGAAATAAGGAAAACTACACTCTTAATCATCTCAAGTTGACACATGGTAAACGGAAGTGCATGGTCATTTAAAGAACAGATTTGAAATTGTGATTACCACAACAATCTTTCCCAATAATCATTTGTTTTCAAGTAAGAGCAAAAACGTTTGCTTTAGTGACCCTTTCTGTCTGGCAGGGGCACACTAAGTTTTCTGAGACGATGATATTCTTTTCATGAATATATTTTCTTGCTAAGGCCTCGATTTTGGAAAAGAGAAAAACATTTCAAGAGATATTTAGTTGATCAATTTCAATTGAATAATGTATGATTAGTTTTACAAATGAATTAATTCAAATCAAAAATGACATTATTAGCCCTTAAAATGCCGGTTTTGTTGTCTTGATTTTCCTGTTATCCGGTAAATGAAAATAAATATGTCAACAATGAAATGTTATTCTCGTCACTTTTATCCCATTTATTGTGTTTGGAACTCATTTTGCACAGATATCGACGATTGTACTCCTGACCCATGTCAGAATGGAGGAACTTGTACTGATGGAGTGAACGACTATACTTGTGCCTGCGTACTGGGCTATACTGGAAACGATTGCGAAACAGGTAAGACATTGAGTCAAAACAAATTACAAACTTTCATACATACACTTTTTATGTAAAGTAATTGCACCTTGCTCATCAAGACATTATAGATAAAGAGCGAACAAGGAAATGAAATGAAAGAAACCTTTAGTCATTGGTGAGAAAAATCTCGGAGGTTTTTCTTTATTCAGAGTCGACAGGAGTGAATGTAGAGACAAAGAAATTAGGGTGTCCCACCTGTTAGTGTAGAAATAAGGAAAACTACACTCTTAATCATCTCAAGTTGACACATGGTAAACGGAAGTGCATGGTCATTTAAAGAACAGATTTGAAATTGTGATTACCACAACAATCTTTCCCAATAATCATTTGTTTTCAAGTAAGAGCAAAAACGTTTGCTTTAGTGACCCTTTCTGTCTGGCAGGGGCACACTAAGTTTTCTGAGACGATGATATTCTTTTCATGAATATATTTTCTTGCTAAGGCCTCGATTTTGGAAAAGAGAAAAACATTTCAAGAGATATTTAGTTGATCAATTTCAATTGAATAATGTATGATTAGTTTTACAAATGAATTAATTCAAATCAAAAATGACATTATTAGCCCTTAAAATGCCGGTTTTGTTGTCTTGATTTTCCTGTTATCCGCTAAATGAAAATAAATATGTCAACAATGAAATGTTATTCTCGTCACTTTTATCCCATTTATTGTGTTTGGAACTCATTTTGCACAGATATCGACGATTGTACTCCTGACCCCTGTCAGAATGGAGGAACTTGTACTGATGGAGTGAACGACTATACTTGTGCCTGCGTACTGGGCTATACTGGAAACGATTGCGAAACAGGTAAGACATTGAGTCAAAACAAATTACAAACTTTCATACATACACTTTTTATGTAAAGTAATTGCACCTTGCTCATCAAGACATTATAGATAAAGAGCGAACAAGGAAATGAAATGAAAGAAACCTTTAGTCATTGGTGAGAAAAATCTCGGAGGTTTTTCTTTATTCAGAGTCGACAGGAGTGAATGTAGAGACAAAGAAATTAGGGTGTCCCACCTGTTAGTGTAGAAATAAGGAAAACTACACTCTTAATCATCTCAAGTTGACACATGGTAAACGGAAGTGCATGGTCATTTAAAGAACAGATTTGAAATTGTGATTACCACAACAATCTTTCCCAATAATGATTTGTTTTCAAGTAAGAGCAAAAACGTTTGCTTTAGTGACCCTTTCTGTCTGGCTGGGGCACACTAAGTTTTCTGAGACGATGATATTCTTTTCATGAATATATTTTCTTGCTAAGGCCTCGATTTTGGAAAAGAGAAAAACATTTCAAGAGATATTTAGTTGATCAATTTCAATTGAATAATGTATGATTAGTTTTACAAATGAATTAATTCAAATCAAAAATGACATTATTAGCCCTTAAAATGCCGGTTTTGTTGTCTTGATTTTCCTGTTATCCGCTAAATGAAAATAAATATGTCAACAATGAAATGTTATTCTCGTCACTTTTATCCCATTTATTGTGTTTGGAACTCATTTTGCACAGATATCGACGATTGTACTCCTGACCCCTGTCAGAATGGAGGAACTTGTACTGATGGAGTGAACGACTATACTTGTGCCTGCGTACTGGGCTATACTGGAAACGATTGCGAAACAGGTAAGACATTGAGTCAAAACAAATTACAAACTTTCATACATACACTTTTTATGTAAAGTAATTGCACCTTGCTCATCAAGACATTATAGATAAAGAGCGAACAAGGAAATGAAATGAAAGAAACCTTTAGTCATTGGTGAGAAAAATCTCGGAGGTTTTTCTTTATTCAGAGTCGACAGGAGTGAATGTAGAGACAAAGAAATTAGGGTGTCCCACCTGTTAGTGTAGAAATAAGGAAAACTACACTCTTAATCATCTCAAGTTGACACATGGTAAACGGAAGTGCATGGTCATTTAAAGAACAGATTTGAAATTGTGATTACCACAACAATCTTTCCCAATAATGATTTGTTTTCAAGTAAGAGCAAAAACGTTTGCTTTAGTGACCCTTTCTGTCTGGCA